TTCCTCAAAAAAAAAAAAAAACAGATAAGTGTTCAGAGTTGGAAAAAGAAACCTAGAAGAGTACAGCTTAACAGAAGATAATGAGGAAGAGAGTTTGGAGAAAACATAATTATCAACACGGTCAAATGTGGCTGAAAGGTCAAGGAAGCTCTGGAAGGAAAGAAGTCTTATAATAAACACCATCCATCTTCTGAGTAGTAAAGGAAGGCAGAAATGTGGAGGGGTGGAGAAATTTGAATTTTTAAGTGAGAAGGAAGGTTTAGAAAAGAATGTAGATGATTTTAAGTGATCATTAAGAGAACAACAAACAAATTGATGAACAGATTTGAGGTCCTAAAGGAAGGCAGGTAGTCAATATTTGAGTGGTCACGAATTTGCATGAGTGGACATGAATTTGCACAATTTTGTGATTTTCTTCAACAAGTTTATTATCTTGGAGTGAACTCAAGAGAAGGAGCTAGTTTTTAGGAAAATATGAGAAATTCACTTTTAGACATTTTGAAGATTAATATACAGAAAAGAGAATGAAGATTGGGATACAGATTTGGGAGTTATCTACATAGAAATGGCAGTTGAAACCAATGGCATATGTAGGTATTTGTATGTCATAATTTCTGTCAGTAAAAAATAGATTATTTTCTCCTAGAGAGAAATTATACCCAATCTAAAAATAGCTTCTATCTCTGTTAGTAAGTGTGGATTAGTTTTTGAGAACCTGAAAATTGCCCTGTATTAATTTGAAGAATAATCCTACTACAATGAAATGGCTATCAGAATCCTAAAATTGTCATTAGCAAGAGGACATTTATGAAAGTTGAAAGGCTTGCAAATGTATGCTTGAGGACAGCAGTTATTGAACCAGCATTATAAAAAAATTCTCCTACCCCTTGCCTCTCTGTGTAAGCAGTGTATTATTTGAGGAAAACAGAAACAAACAAAACACATGCAGGGGTACTATTCTACCAGCAGATACCCAAGTGGCCACAATGGCTGTTTATGATCGATATCTGTAATTAGTTTTTTTTGCTGAGGAAGTTTCACCTTGAGCTAACATCTGTGTCAATCTTCCTCTATTTTGTACGTGGGTCACTGCCACAGCATGGCTGATGAGTGGTGTAGGTCTGCACCCGGGATCCAAACCTGCAAACCTGGGCCACTGACGCAGAGTGCACCGAACTTAACCACTATGCCACAGGGCTGGCCCCATGAAACATTTTAAATACAACTGCTACTCATGTGATAATATTATATTCACTGAATTACTATATATAACATTTCACTACTTCGAAAATTCAAAAGTACATTTTACATATATTACTTTGTCTTTACCACAACCTTTCAGGACAAAAAGGATTCATTAGAGCCACTAGGTTAGTAATGATTAACCTAAGATACAGTTGTTGCCTATTTCTTTGTTATTTGCTAACATTATGCTCAAATTCAAAGCTGCTTCTACCAATAACAGTGACCCTGAATAAATTCACTTGAAAACTAAAAGTCAATTCACTTAGAATACAGTAGTTACTCTTATTAAAGTAAAATCCTCATACCATTTGGTGATGCCATAACAATCTTTAATAATATCTTGAAGTACAGCACGATAGAAGAGTGATTCAGTAGGCAGCTGAAAAAAATGTAGCACAAGAAACAAATAAATAAGCACAAGCAACAAATAAAAAACAGAAATCAAATAAATACCAGGGAGTTAGGACAATAAGTGAATGTTAGAAACCTGACTTTGTTGCTAAACATAGAGCACAATGTTATAATTTTTCCATTCTAAGTTAAAATGAACCCTGAGGCTAACTCTCACTGAAAAAGTAATTCTACAAGGAAATAGAAAAAAATGATAAAAGAAGAGTAGTGAATGAGGAAGAAAAGGCATAACGAAAAAACAAAAAATGAGCTAATGTCCCAAATGGAGTGCTTGGCAGTTAAAAATGTAGAAATAAACTTTCATGACCAGCCAAGTCAGCTCTGCATAAGAGAGCAGTCAGGTAGGATACGTGCAAAAGAGAAGAGAATGTGGGTCTGTCCTAATGGTGGTGGAATAGAGATGCTATTACCCAGGACTCACACCCAGAAAGAGACAGTACTACCCTAAGTAAGGACATACTAAAAATATGTCTCAAGCCAAAAAGATCACAGCATTGGCTAATGCAGAGTTGAAAAGAAGGGCCCTGGAAAGGACACAGGATCAGAGATTGAAGTCTTGGCAAGGCTTCATTTCCTGGGGAAAAAGAGATGGGAGGTGTCCACGAAGGTGTAAAAGTTTTTGAAAGGACAGAAGGGATGGGTGAAGAGAAGGGCCCTAATGAAGCCTGACAGTTTCAAAGAACTAGAAGGTAAAAAAGCACTACACATAAGAGAAAGTGTACTTTGCTGTTGCAATGGAAGAGGTACTCTTAAACTAAGGAACTACAAAAATCTCCAAACAAAACTCCACCCACACACATCCCCACAGACCTCTTAATACTGATACTGTAGAGGAAAATCCAACACAATATCAGCAACAACAACCCTACTTTCAGGCAAAGTTATTATTGAAAAAAAAAAAAAAGAAAAAGAAAACTGAGCAAGGATGGAGGCAGGTCAACAATACTGAATGCTTTTGAGAAGTCAAATAAGGTAAAAACTAAAAACTGTCCAATGACTGGTAAAGTTTTAAAGATAGAGTTCAGTGGAACACGTATATCCACTGAGTTATCCTTTTGTCATTTTTATTCTCCTTCAGAGCCCAAAATTGTTATTTTCACCTGTTTTCAACTAGAATATGTTTGGATTCAGATGGAGTTTAGCACAAAATAAAATTATGCCTGTGTGCTCAGGCAGATAACCTACTCTACTGTCCTTCTCCCCCTTCCAACATCAAGTTCCTACACTGTGGGCCCCAGGTGCTGAGACTACAAAAAACCACAGGTTGGGAGTTGAGTCTTCACCTGGTGGCATTGCCTTCTTAAGTCACTGGAGAATGTCTGTCGGACTGGTAGGATCTTGACAGAGCACTTTGAAAGAACACAAGTTATACCCTCTCTGGATGGTGGGAATAGTGGGGAGGGTAATTCCAGTAGAAAAAGGTGTTAAGAATACCATAGTCCTTAACTCAACTCTGATAAATAAATGAAAAGCAACAGGATATATTGGAGTATATGAGGAAGCCATTTGGTTTAAAACTAATTCGGCCTGACCTAGGTTTTCTAAAAGGACCTGATGTGGCCTGTTGAGCATGCATTGTACATCTGCTTTAAACATTCATTATGTCCCAAAGACAAGAATGATGCTCTTAAAGATAAGGATATAGCTTCCCCCCATATCAGAATTTCTTTAAGGATAAGCATCTCTTCCTGGAAACTGAGGATTAATTACAGACCTGCTGTGCTCACCTTGTGACCACTGACCCGCTGACCACTGATCTGCTGCGCCAGCTAAGCATCTCGTGACAGTAGTAAAAGAGATACTCCTGTCACATGTGATGTATGCTCTTTGTTCCAAGATGGTATACAACCACTCTGTACACCCCACTTCTTTGGTGCCCTTCCTTCCTTGGGGAACGAACACCCCGGGTGATAGTCCTCAGACCTGGCTCATAATAAATTTACCCCAATTTTGATTTATAGATTGATTATGGATTATTTGTGTCAATAACTTCTAAAATAACTCACTGAATGCAGACATACACACACACTTGAGTGCCCACACTAAAATTTATAACCTTCAAAATATATATATAACCTTCTTATATAAAATCTCTTTCCAAATACAATTCCTTGACTTGAGACAAAATCTCTGATTTCTAAACTTTCCTTTCCTGAAGATTGCTCTAAAACATTTCACTCAGAATTTCCCATCTCTGGATATATTTTCCATTTGACATTCTGTCATCTTGAGCAATTCTTTTCTACAGTAAGTACCAAAAATCTCTACTTCATCATCTGTCCTCCTCTACCTCCCAAATCCCCTCAATTGTCTCACAAAAATGCTGAAATCCCTTTTCATATGTTAACACCTACTGTTATACTATTCTATTGAAATTAAAGGCATTTTGGAAAATATATTATTACATGAACTAAAATATTAGTATTATAAATGGCTTACAAAGAGTTCTTAACTTTTTATTTGATTAGCTATAATAGATAGGAACTTCAATTTTATATGAAACTCCTAAAAATAGCTGAGCTAGTATTTGAACTGAGGAAGCCTGGCTCTGATGTCCCAGTACCAAGCTATGATGTTATTTTGCCTCTCAGACACTTGGGTAAGGATGAGGCGTCATTATTATTGTTTTTAATATACGTTAATTTGGGGGAAAAAAAACTCCTACAAAGAAAGCTCTTCTTCTCATACCTTTGAGAAAAATTATATCAAGATTATTTATAAATAAATGCATATTTATATTGTTATTAACTGATTGTAGAAAGAGCACAAAAAGACCAAGAATTGCATTTAAAGCAAGAGAACATACAGAAATGGAATGCATAGAGAAATACAAATAGGACAGAATAAATCATCATTCCCAAGTTACCCTGAGTAAATAAGAGCTTTACAGCTGTTTCCTAAGAGAAAGGGAAGAGAGTTAAATGCCTTCACATGTGCATTCCTGGAATATCTAGGACCATCCATCCTGGTAAATACAGACGGGGGTAAGTGGGAAGGGAGTCAACATCTCCTGAGCAGCCTTGCCTGACTCTTTCAGAAATAAACTGGATGCAGCTCAGAGTTTACTTTCTTTCCTTCACAAGTGATAAATCAACTTAACATTTTAATGCATTTTAAAATGGGAGGGAGCAGAAAGCGTACACCCTTAAAGTACATGTACTAGACATGCATTTTACAGGCCTAGTGGAGAGGGCACTAAGCTGGAAGCCAGGACTCTGCAATTAATTAAGGGAGCTAGAATGCACTACTAAACTTTTGCTGTGTATCATGTTCTCATGTAAGTCTGGGATGATACCCAACTCATAAGATTGACTGTAAACATGAGCAAGCACTTGGGAATTGAAAAACACCATACAAATGCACTGGGGCATTATTATGATGAAGGCTCTTTCCTCTTCCAGACCCCTAGGGAAGCACTAAGTTGATATGCAGTACAGTACTTAAGAGCTTGGGCTCCAGAGTCAGAGATTCAAATCTCAGTGTTCACTACTTAGTGTCCTCATGTGCACCGTAGGACAATAAGAGTTCCTATCTCATAGGATTATGTATATAGTGCTTTAATTGATGAAAACCTTGAACAGTACTTTGGTAAGCACTGTGTTAAACTTTGTTATTATTTTCATGATCATAATTATTAACTACCTGTAACAGCAACAACAATTGACATTTATTGAACACTTAGTATGTGCTAGACACTGCTTTACGCATTTTACATTTTTCATTTATTTAATCCTCATAACAACTTTACAAGGAAGATATTACCGTTACTCCCATTATTGTTATTATTCTTATTCTACAGATAAAGAAATTAAGCTATGACGTGTCCCAGGTCACTAAGCCAGTAACTGATGAAGACAGGATGCAAATTAACAGTTCGAGATTAAAGCCCACACACTTAAACAACATGCTCTAATGCTTTTAAAAAATCAGTTTTGATCAATTTTTAAATAGGTACAATTAATGCATTTTAAAAAAAAAGCTCTTAGCGTTGTGCCTGGCCCAGAGTAAAGCACTCAGTAAATGATGCTTGTTGCTATTATTATTTTTAAAAACTGGCATATTAATGTTCCTTGAAAAGAAGCAAAAGAGAGATTTCTAAATTTAGGTCCAATAAGAAAAACCTTGTGAAAAGTTTAAACGCTTAAAAAAAACTTAAAAAATTCCTAATGTTTCATGAATCATAAAGTGGAGCATAAGGCAATTATATGGATATTTGGGGGATACATTTAACTTCTGTTTATACGTGCAAACTCCTTTGGCTGTTGCAACTAATCAGTGGTCAAGTCAATAAAGAAAAATGTTTAAAAACAACCAACTTAAATATGTGTTTTAGACTACAGTTAAAAAATATATTGAATGCTGCAAGTTCACTTCTCTTTTAAAGTAAACTTACAGAAAATGTATAAATTTGAATATGAAGAGGTGACAAGAAGAGGCTATTTATTAAAATCCATCAGGTTTTAAGTTCATCAGCAGGTCAAGTATGAAGAATACTTTAAGAAAAACTATCCTGTTCATCAATTGGATTAGAGTAAACACTCTTACTTACCCCTTGGCCAACTGCAACCCGCTCCAATGCCTTTAAGGAGAAAACATAAGAGAAAGACTGCTGATACATTTAGTCTTATCTTTTAAGACTTATAAACATACTGTATAAGGCTTTGTAAAAGTGACATTTAAAAGACTGATTAAGTAATAACATGCAAGTTTATACACTTAAAAGTGTTAATAACATTAAGGACTGTTAACTGGTATACCTGCATAATTTAAGGCTGATATATAATGGATGTATCTCATGTAAACAAACACATACAGACCTCAATTGTATACACTCCTTGAATTTTAGAAGGGATTAGAAAACAGAAAAGAAATGAAATGACATATTTTTGGCTTACTTTTAGTGTGGCTAAAGCAAATAAATACAAAGCTATTATTATGCATATATACAGATGTATTTATATACTACTTTTTAACTTTTTTCTTCCAATTTTTTATAAACATATAATTTCACCTCTTATTAAACAAAATTATACTGAACAATTACAGTTGAAAACTGAGTTTTGAAAAGTATGTATATTTTTAGTCTGCATGGTCTGCAAATTCAAATTCACATTTGATCAAGTACCTAATAGAAGAGAAAGTAATACATATTTTTACAATTCTATATGTAGCTGGTTTTACATTTATATTTATTTAAGATCCAAAACATTTTTACAAAATATTTCCTAATATTTCTAATAAGTACTCATAATCTAACACATATGAAAGATACATATAAAAGATTTGTCACAATTTAAATGTGGAATAGAGCCTTCTGAAACTTTCATTTTTTTAGAGAAATACATTTCTATACTTATATAGTTTTATAACTGAATTAGATTAAAATATTTTAACTGAAGTTTTATTGTTAAAATTTTAATTGGAAAATATTTCAAACATTAAGTAGCAAAATATAATAGATCTGTATATACTCCTTACTCAAATTTAAAATACTCATACTTGCTTCAGATTTCTATGCCTTCATAAATAAGACTTTTTAGATATAGCTGAATCATATACCTTTAAAACTGAAAGATAGCTTACAGATTATCCTGTGTAAGTGCAATTTTTGCAGATGCACAAGGTCACCGACAAGGTAAAGTAATTTGCCACAAGTTGCACAGCTAGTTAGCAGGTGAACAGGAACTAAAAACTTGTTTTTTGAACCCTGATTTATTTCTCATGCCCTCACACTATGAAGATTTAGCGGGAAAATGAGTTCATTGCATGAAAATTTCTTTCACAGAATTGTTTTCAGAAAAAAATGTAATTTTTCCATTGACTTAAAGGGTACCTTCACCGAACATCTAGAGCCAGAGTGTTATGAATACAGGAGATAGTTATTATATAATTTTAATATTAAATAGCAACAGGCCCAGAACAAGTTTTTTATTGAAGACTACATTGAGTTTTCATTTATAGTACTGGTTGTGCTCATTTCAGATTAGATTTTTGTGTTATTGGCTTTTGCTCAAAGACTGAACTGAATAAAGAAACAAGAGAGTTCTTAACAATAAATTATTTGGTGGGAATAAAAATATCACATAACATAGGACTACTTTTGGTATGTGTTGCTGATCAGTTTATTTTAGAAATACAAATGATAAACTTTGATTACATAGTAAAAGATAATCAGGTAGGTGATAAGTTTCTTGGAAACATTAATCTTTTTCTTGGCCAAAAAATAAAGATGAAGAAAATATACCAAGTGTTCATTTCATACTAATCTAAAATATTTTACAGTTTTATCAGGCTTAAAGTATGCTGACAAGATTGCACTATTCTAATTACATTTTTATTTCTGGTTAGTACCCTTAACAATTTATCTGCAAGTGTCAGCAGAAAGGTCTCTTTTTTTTAACTCCTTAAGCTTTGAATACTTGTGGAAAAGGTCAGTTATAAAACAAAAGGCAATAAAACAAGATGCACCAAAAGAAATGTTCCTTAGACTTCTCAAGATTACTCTAGCATCAAAAAAAGAAGTCGAGGTGAGCAGGGACTTGGAATGAAGCGAAGGAGAGGGCCATTCCATGGGAAGCTGACACTGGTCAAGGAAATTTCTTAAGTGTGGCATGGTCTATAAATTCTACTTTTTGGAATTTATTTTTCAAAAACTCTTCTTTTTGGTTCTTTGAATGTTTATTTTTATAGCGAACATTCTTGTTCGGTGGATACAGATCTTCTTTTATCTCTTCAAGGGATATTAATAGTTATTTTATGTTATTTTATCTTACATAGTATCCATTTCCTCCAGGTTGCTTTTTCTATTTGTTTATCTGATCTCTATTCTTTCCTCTTATACTTTCTTACACATCTAGTGATGTTTGGCTGTCTGTTGATAATAAAATGGGAGTATCATAAACCTGATTAGAAGCATTGGGTTTATGAGTGAGGGCTATTAGTTGTGGGCCTCATAGTAAAGGTGAGATCTGTCCTGTTTCACTGTGAAATCCCTGATGCCAAGATCTTTAGGTTTTTCTCTTAGGCTAGTCAGATTCCCTACAAACGACTATTTCAATTTCTTGCCTGGAGGGTATTAGCCTGGCTGCCAGCATTTTGGGAACCAAGTCATTCCAAGAATGACTTGCCATTCTCACAAGACCTTGAACAAGTACCATTTACAGATATAATGAAAGAACAAGACAAATTCTCAGAGAAGTATTTTAAGAAGACTTATAAAACAAAATTATTATTTGAGCATAAATAGATTTCTAAGATAATTCCAGGATATATGACCTGGAACACTGGTACACTATTTTTTTTTTGGTGAGGAGATCAACCCTGTGCTAACATCTGCCAATCCTCCTCTTTTTTTGCTGAGGAAGACTGGCCCTGGGCTAACATCCGTGCCCATCTTCCTCCACTTTATATGGGACGCCGCCACAGCATGGACTGCCAAGCAGTGCGTCGGTGCGCGCCCGGGATCCGAACCGGCAAACCCTGGGCTACCACAGCAGAGCGCACGCGCACTTAACCGCTTGCGCCAACGGGCCGGCCCCTGGTACGCTATTTTTTATATTGCTGTGTTACTGGTGTATAAATAATGGCTTTATAATAATTAATTTATCTTGGGATTGGACATTAAACACATTATTTAATCAACTTATATTCCGAATTGCTAATACAAAAAACCACTTACACTGTTTAATTTGCATCTATTCCTTTGTAAACACAGCACCACAGACAGAGAAGCCCATGAGTTAAAGTGTTCTAGGTCTAAGGACACCAGCCAATCAGGCATAAAAAAGGTTTTATTTAACTAAATAGTTACTTCATATCCCAAGTAGCTTAATAATATTCTTCTCATTCTATAAAAATTTAGCATACCAAATGATCTGCTACAAACAAATGCAAACATACCACAGAGCTATGGACAAAGCACTGAACTAATTCTGTGTTTAAGACTTGGCAGTTGGTACATTTTATATGATAATCAAAGTAATTATACGTAAAAAATTAAGTACTACAATGTAGAATTACAGTATAACTATAAATTGTTACCACACTGCATGTAGAGTGGATACTACTGCAAGGGCAAGTCATTTTTTTCTCATAATTTGCAGTGAACAAAAGCATTAAAGATGATGCTCTGCAAAATTTGGCATTTAATGCATAATGTTAGCCAAAAATAAGTTCTGCAACATCTGGATATAGTCCAGAAAAACACATAACCATACCAAACACGCTGACATTCTGGCATTACGACCACAGCACCATCTCTCTTCCTTTAAATAGTGGCACATTGGAAATCCCCACTTTTGTTGAGTACATTCTGCAGATGGGGGAAAAATACGGATTATTTAAATAAAACTCTTCCTCTTTCAGTTAAAGTAAATAATCTATTGAGAAAGCAAATCAGTCATTGAGAGAGTCAAACAGTAGTTAAACAAGGAAGTGGTAATGTTTAACAGTTCATTTCAGTCTGTTAATTGAAAGCATATTAATGTTATGAAAATGGTATTTTCTCAACAACAGCTGTTTTGTGTTTAAGCTACAGGTCTGATACTAACCAATTTGCCAATTATTTCTCTAAGATTTAGCACAAGCAATTCAAAATGAAAAAACTTTTCATGTTCAATGTAAGTAACTATAGCAGACAAGTAATGAGATACTGGACATTTATTGCTGGCCTGACTTTACCAAAAAAATGATTTATTAAATATGATATTTGGCAATTATAGAACAATATTAATTCATTCCTAACAATGTTGAAGCATCAATTTTTTTCCAGCCATGATGTTCACTTTCCAGAAAAAGAACAGCTGTATAGGCTCTTCTTTCTTTATTGTATTAAGAGCTGTAATATTTTCAACTGTGATTCAATTTGGCTCAATTGCCTGGTTCAAGTAACAACAAGAAAAATCAACATTCGCTGCTTAATCACACATATTTGCTGCCCAACACACTCACAGAGTTACATATGCGAACTTGCTGATGTTTAAACCCCTTATATAGAACTATTAATTACACAGGGTTCTTGAAAAGGAAAAAAAAAATGATTTCTATTTTAAATCAAAGCCTAGAAAATAAGAACTTAAATTTTATCAAAACTGTGGCAATTAAAAGAAAATTGAGATATATATAAATTTCCTATTAGGTTAAAAAGTACAATAGAACTAAAAACTTCAAAACAAGAAAACTCTTTAAAAGAAAATACTGTTGAGGTAGATTCCACTAAATAAACTTTGCTATGAAGGATCAGATGACTTTTGAGTAAAATAGAGAAAGTTTAAATTTCATGCAGATCATAAGCCTGTGAAAGTGGTTTCTTTCAGGTATTAAATTGAGATTTATAAAAGATCCTACTGATAACCAGATGGAAGATATGGACTTTCCCCCAGGACTATAAATAATAATATAGCTAGTATTTATACAGCACTTAATATTGTTAGGCACTATTGTAAGTACTTTAAATGTTTAACTAGCTTTAAATGCTAAGTGCTTTAAATGTATTAACTAGTCCCCACAGCAATTCTATGAAGTAGGTATACTATTATCCTCAATTCTATCAAGTAGGTAAACTATTATTCTCAATTCTATGAAGTAGGTATACTATTATCCTCAGTTCTATCAAGTAGGTAAACTATTATTCCCAATCCTATGAAGTAGGTATACTATTATTATTATTATTATTATACTATTATTCACATGTTTCAGATAGGGAAACTGAGCACAGGGAGGTTAAGTAAATTACCTAAGTTGCAAATCTAGCACATGACAGAGTTGGAATTTAAACCCAGGCAGTCTGACTCCAGAGGCCATGCTCTTAACTACCAAGCGATATAAACAATTTCATTTACAACTTCACAGGACTCATGGAGCCCCTGAAGCCTATCCAGGTCCTAGGAACCCTGGACTACTTCCTCTGTCTATTTCCAAGATGACATGAAATAGTGGTTTGAGTTTTACTGAAGGCTTTACAATTTAACTGAGACATGATTATTGCTAAATGAAAGGGTTATTTATAAGTGGTTTTTTTCCTTACAACTAAAAAGAGAAATACCTAGATCTTACTGTACAGGGTAAAGGGCTGAGAGATGGGGTTGTGCTATTTCATTCAGAGTGTTTAGGAAAAGTGCTAACCAATAAAACAGCTAGTTCTTCCCTCACCCCCATCAATTCTCTCCTTATTCCTTGTAGTAACAGAGCATTCAATTTTCAGCTGGGTATTCAGCTGTTCAGATTAAAGACTGCAATTCCCAGACTCCCATGCAGCCACTAGGATAGCTACAAGACTAAGTTTTGGCTAACTGGATGTGGGCAGAAAAGATGTGTGTAAATTCTAGGTCACATGCTCAAAGGGAGAGGAGCAAGCTCTTTCTCCCCACATTCCACCCCGCTTCATCCCTCCTCTGTCTGGAATGTGGCCATGGTGGCAAGCCAACAAGGACCGTATAAACAAGAGCAGCTGAGGATAGAGCAACAAAACAGAAGGATTCTGGGTTCTTGGAAGACTTTTTGGTAGAGAGCTCCCATATCAGCTCTAATTGTCTACTTCTGGATTGAAACAGAAATATCCCTCTGTCTTGTTGAAGTTACCGTTACATTGGGTCTGAACCTATTTTGCATCTATGTCTTTATCTTAATTTAATGCTTCTCAAACTTTGTATTGGAATATGGCAAAATTTGTACATCACACTGGAATAAACAGATGATGGTGATTGTGTTGAGGCAAAATGCAGGAGATGAAGGAAGCAGTATCTCAGGAACACCCATAAAGCATCCATGGCACATTAGTTGAATAGTTCTATCCTAATTAATATAGAAGTCTTTTTTGAGGATATGATATTTGAGCAGAGACTTAAATGAGGAAGCCAGCCATGAAATATCAGGGGAAGACAATGAAAAACAAACAAACAAACAAACAGCTTCCACCAGGATATAGTTAATCTTCAAAAATCTAATATGAGAATATTTTACCATTTAAAATGATAATCGACTAGCAATGGCCCAACTTCTAATATCCCAACCAAATACATACAAAAAAACTTGTAGAGCCAGCCCTGGTGGCCTACTGGTTAAGTCTGGCACGCTCCACTTCGGTGGCTTGGGTTCAGTTCCCAGGCGGGGACCTATACCACTCGTCGGTGGCCATGCTGTGGTGGCAGCTCACATAGAAAACAGAGGAAGACTGGCAACAGATGTTAGCTCAGGGTGAACCTTCCTCAGCAAAAAACAAAAGCAAAAAAACCCAAAAAACTTGTAACACTGGAAAAGAGGAGATGAAAGTCAACTTATTGCAGAACATGAAACAAACAATGGATTTGTAATGAAAGGCATAATTAGTGCACCTTCACTGCTCTGCAATTCACCTTATGCTGCCAGGAAAAAAGCATGTCTACTTGCCTGAAAACAGGTAGAAAGAGCCTCCCCCAGTAATAATCTAAAGAAGACTTTGACTGAAAAAAATTACTACTTAACATTAGGTAGAAAGGGGAACAGTATTTCTAGAAAATATGACAGTGGAAGGGGTATATCATTTCCAGGAAAAAAAAAATCTAATACAGTCACATGTCACTTAACAATGGATATATGTTATGAGAAATGTGTTGTTACGCAATTTTGTCATTGTGGAAACATCATAGAGTGCACTTACACAAACCTAGATGGTACAGCCTACTACACGCCTACGCTATATGGTACTAATGTTATGGGACCATTGTTGTATATACAGTCCCTTATTGACTGAAATGTCATTATGTGGCACATGACTGTGCAAGAAGGCCACACCCAAGTTACTCCCAAATTCTTGACCCACAGAAACCGTGAGAGATAATAAAAAGTTATTGTGGCTCTAAGCCATTCAGTTTTGTGGTGATTTCTCAAACAGCATTAGATAATAAATACAGTCTAGAAGCAGTAACGAGGAGGCTAATTAACCCATATAAGGGAAGTGAGACAGAAAAGTCCACTGCCTGAGGCGTATGGGAAGTGTACTTCCTTAGGAAAGAGCTAGGTTTTGATTAGACAAGAAAATAAAGGAATTTTCAGAGATCAGGCTGTAGATATAGGCAATTTCAGTAACGACTGACTGTGAATTCCCGAGGATTTTGGAATTGAGAAGAGGTGGAAGATAAGTCAGAACAAAGGACATATAGAGATACGTCTGATTAGAGTCCCAGAAATTAGGAATGAATTGTGAGGCCTGGGGTTCTGGTGAGGGCTGACATGAATAGGGATCAAAGGCATGATGGGATTAGTCCTGACAGTCCCTAGAGAGATAGTGGTGAAGCTGTGAGCGTGGTGGTAGGAGGGAAGGCGGGGGTATTTTTCAGGAGACTACAGAATTCTGGGCTCCCCAATTGACTTCTGGTGATAAAGGGAAGATGCAGGCAGAGATACATAGGACTCCTGGGATCCCTCTTGATTTCAGATGATACAAGACGGAAGCCAGCAGGGGAGCAATCACACTTTGAGCTCATGGGGCTGTCACTGGAGAAATGGAGGCTGGTAAAAGATAGGCAAGTATGTCCCCTAACTTGTGCTGATAAAGATGAGGGTGGAGGAAAGTTACTGTCTTCCTTAAGGCTCATAAAGCTACTCTTTGCCACTACAATGAAGGCCTAGAGAAGGGTATGTACTCTTAATCTGTGTGTAAGAAAGCTCTCTCTTCAACCCTCATAACAGTGTGAGGGACAGCAGAAGGGCAGTCTTACTGATGCATGTGGCTCCCCGAATCCCTATCCAAAACAACTAGGAACTTGAAGATCCTAGGGCAATGTACAGGAACTGCCAGCCCTGACTCAGAGCTATGAGAAACCACATTGGAGACTCACTCCTCTGGACACCTGATGGTGTGTGACCACCTTGAAGTTTTCTGAATCTGCATCACAGTTTCCTCTGTGGCTGAGGTCATGGTGGCCGCACAGCTCTGTTCATCCTCTAATAGAACAAGTGCAAACAACTGATACAGAGGCATGACACCCTCAAAGTCAAACAAAGCCTTTCTTTCATGTACAGGTTCACTATTATCTTGGGAATCTATTTCATCAGCTTCATTCTGACTGCAGTGAATAATGAGGCTCCCTTCTATGTCATGAATCAAAGTCACAGCGTTCACCACATTCACTATTTCTATTGTTATCCATCAGTCTCCTATTTAACTGTGTTCATATACTCATATTCAAATCTAGTTAAATTGAGCATTAACTGCCCTTATCAGTAAATCAAGTTGCTTTCTCCTAGGATCACTTTCATTCTATCTTTAAATGATAATTTTGGATTAGATGAAGTCTCTCGTTTTTTTCTTCTATCCTATTTCTTAGTATCCTT